AAAGCGTGTGGAAAAGTTAGGATCCGGCACATCAGGATTAGGTAGAAGTCGTCCCACACCACACATTTATTTTCTACAGTGGAGACTGGAGAGCCCATCAGGATGTGCAAGTCAACCACTCTTTCTTTTCTCTAATAGGAGGACACAATAATTATTCTTTTTTATTGTTTGTCTGAGCACTGCAACATTAATTGGGTAGGGAAATAGCATTGCAATTTCTGGGAAATGACATATATAAATACCACATTGCTTCTCTTGGATTTCCATAGAAATTAATTGCTTTCCGATTCAGAATTCAATGGCTCGGCTTATCTTTCTTTTCCTTGCCTTTCTCTTTCTGATCACTAATGTTATCATTATTAGCAATTGTAATGGCAACTCTGTTCATGCGGTCTGCATTGAGAACGAGAAAGAAGCCCTTTTGAAGTTCAAGCAAGGTATCGTGGATCGCACCAACCGACTGGCCTCTTGGCATTCTGATGGAGATTGTTGCAAATGGACGGGGATTGTCTGCAACAACGTGACTGGTCATGTCATTGAACTCAACCTTAGAGTACCTCCATTGGATGACTACTATGACGATGAGGCTTATGAGAGATCATGGCTAGGTGGTAAGATAAGTCCTTCTCTGCTCCATTTGAAGCATTTGAGTTATTTGGATCTCAGCAACAATGATTTTAAAGGAATTCACATTCCCAAGTTTATTGGTTCTTTGGGGAGTCTAAGATACCTTAACCTCTCCCTTTCAGTATTTGGAGGGAAAGTTCCTCACCATCTTGGTAATCTTTCTTATCTAAAATATCTCGATCTTGGGAACAATGATTTGCATGTTGAGACTCTCCATTGGTTGTCTAGTCTTTCTTCATTGGAGTACCTTGATTTGAGTCGTGTGAACCTTAGCCAAGCCTCCAATTGGTTTCATGCACTAAATAAACTTCCTTCCTTGGTAGAATTACACTTGTCACAATGTCAACTTTCCCATCATCATCTCCATCCCATTGCAAGTGTAAATTTATCATCTCTTGCTACCCTTTCTCTTTCTCAGAATCATTTCCAAAACTTGTCAATGATCAATTGGGTTTTTGGTCTCAAGAACCTAATTTCCCTTGATCTATCGAATAGTTATATTGAGGGTTTGATCCCTTATGGTTTTCAAAATTTGACTTTGTTGAAGCACCTTGATTTGTCAAACAACTTTTTCAATTCCTCAATACCTAATTGGTTGTACAATTTTAGCCCTCTTGAGTCTTTAAATCTTGAGGAAAATCTCTTATCAGGTGAAATTTCAAGTGACATAGGAAAGATGAACCTTCTTGTTGATCTTGATTTATCTTATAATAGTTTCAAAGGTCAAATCCCAATTAGGTCAATAGGAAATCTCTGCAGCTTGAGATCACTCTCTCTCTCAAGTGTTAATTTGAGTCTAGACATATCAAATGTCTTAGAAGTCTTTTCTAGGTGTGTTTCTAATAACATAGAGTCATTGGACTTGCAAATGTGTCAACTCTACGGACAATTAAGCAACCAATTAGGGAACTTTAAAAATTTGAGAAAGTTGGATTTGTTTAATAACTCAATCTTTAGTTCAATACCAATATCCATAGGAGAGCTTTCTTCCTTAGAATTTTTAGATCTCTCTCAAAACAAATTGAAAGGAAACCTTCCTGAGTCATTTAGTCAACTTGCCAATTTAAAAAAAGTTGATATATCATATAATTTTTTTGAGGGTACTCTTTCTGAGAAACACTTTTGTAATGTCACAAAATTGTTAATTTTAATTGCAAGTGGGAACCAATTGATTTTGAAGGTTGATCCTAGTTGGATTCCTCCCTTTCAAATTCAAGACTTACAATTAAGATCTTGGACGTTAGGACCGCAATTTCCGCATTGGCTTACCTCTCAGACACACCTAGAATCCTTAGATATATCCAACTGTGGAATCTCAAGTATTATCCCTAGTTGGTTTTTTGACTTCTCTCATCAAATGGTGTTTTTGAATCTCTCTCACAATCAAATTCATGGGCGGCTTCCAAGTATTTCTACCTTCAACGATTCATCATCTCAGATTTTCTTTGATCTATTTTTCTTAGACCTTTCTAATAATCTTCTATCAGGTTCCCTTTTTAACTTTTTGTGTCTTGGAGTGAATGAAACCATGGATCAAATGTATATTCTCAAACTTAGCAACAATTTTTTGTCTGGAGAGTTACCGGATTGTTGGTCCAAGTGGTCAAATTTAGGGGTCATTGCATTAGAAAACAATAGATTTATAGGTAAAATTCCGAGCTCCATGGGAAATTTACAATCTCTTAACTCATTGCATCTTCGTAGAAATAACTTTTTAGGAGAAATTCCTATGTCCATAAGAAACTGTGCATATTTGGAGACCCTCGATTTTGGTGAAAATGAATTGGTTGGGAGCATCCCGTCATGGATGGGTCATAACCTTCCATACCTGACAATCTTGAGCCTTCGTTCAAATAAGTTCTCAGGGCACATCCCTAGAGAGTTGTGTGCACTCAATTTTCTCCAAGTCTTGGACATTGCTCATAATAATCTTTCAGGAAGCTTACCAAGTTGCATTAGTAACTTAAGTGCCATGGTTTATTCTGCAAATAGCTCATTTAGGAACTACATTTCGTATTACTCACCATCAGCATTTATTGAGAATTTATTTCTTATGATGAAAGGCCAGTTTTATGAATATGATTGGACTCTTAATTTGGTAAGAGTTCTTGATTTGTCAGATAATAGTTTATCAGGAGATATTCCTTCTGAAATAACTAGGCTTCAAGGGTTGCTGTCACTAAATTTGTCACACAACCTTTTCACTAAAAGGATCCCTCCAAATATTGGTGACATGAGTTCTTTAGAATCTCTTGATCTTTCCGTAAACAAATTGAATGGGTTGATCCCTGAAAGCATGTCCAGATTATCATTTCTAAGTTACTTGAACTTGTCTGATAATCAATTGACTGGCAAAATTCCTTCAAGTACTCAGTTACAGAGCTTTGATGCATCTTGCTTTGCTGGAAATGAACTTTGCGGCCTTCCACTACCAAATAACTGCAATGAAGTTAATCATGAAGAAGCAAGCACTAGAAATAGTGGGGGGAAAGAAATGGATGGAGTTGAAGTGAATTGGTTGTTTGTTAGCATGGCACTTGGGTTTATTTGGGGATTTTGGAGTGTATTGAGTCCTCTTGTGGTTAGTCGGCAATGGAGGCATGCATACTATCAATATATAGATGAGATGTGGTGGAAAGTCAGTAATTATGTGAGTGGATTTTTCTAACATTTTATGTATTTTTTTTTTTTTTTACAAGTGTATTTCTCTTCATGTCCTTGTGATATATTACAAAGCATCACCTCTTTACTTTTAAGCAATATTGTTTTGATTGTTTGTTATCTGCAATGAAACAGTAAAATAGCTGCTTGCAAATACCTTTTTTCAAGTCTTTAGCTTAAAATTTAATGCATACATTAATAAAAACATTATATTAATTGTGTTTAAGTAATTCAATTGAAATTAAAAGAGAATAAAAAAGTAGACCTTTTTTTTCTATTAAAAACTTATTTAAATTGTAATGCACTTTATTGGAAGTTAGAGAATACTGAAATTAGAAAAAAAAATGATTGAGAATGGTGATGATGATGCACTTTAAGCCTTCCTGCATCTTGCAAATTCCGGTTAATAGTGAGCTTTAAGACTCAACTGATTGGTCATTAGACTCAATTGATCGTCAGTGCTTGGTCGATTGTAAAATATATGTTTTCTATTGGTGAAGGAAGTGTTTGGTTTGATATTAATTTATTAGGATTTGACATGCTTTAAATTTAATTTAAAGATAAAAATGCCAAAAAATATGAATACAAACAAAACAAATAATAAAGCAAAATATATACCAATTTTATTTTATCTTTATGGTGCTTGGTGTCTTTTATCTTTAAGAAGTAAATCAGTACAACTTGTCGTCATGAGAATATCTTAAAAAAAAAAAAAAAAACTTATTTGAAGTTTGAACTCTTACCTTGTATTTGATTTTTTACCGTTTGTTCTGAGTAATTAATTTTAATAGCTAGGGTTTCTTTAGTTGATGGTAGTGACTATTTTTCAGTTATATTATAAAAATAAGCTACAACCGAGAATTTTTCATAGGAAATAAGAATTGCTAACCCTTAATGTCTAGGGTGTTTATTTTTATTTTTATTTTTACATTAGCAAAAAATTTAAAAAATGCCTATTCTTTAAAAAGTAGAAGGATATATATAGTATTTATTCTTACTTTACTTTAGTAGAAAATTATCAATATTAAAATATAGATAATCGATGCAAGACCAACAAATGTTAGTTAGTAATCTTGAAGTTATTATAAAAATTTAAATTTATTAAATTTAATTTAAGTACAATACTACTAAATATATAAAAATAACTAAAAATTCAAAAATAAAATATACTAATATGAATTTTAGTAATTACATGATTATAATTTGCAAGTTTGGGAAAAGGTGAAATGGTGAATACATTAACCAAACTTGTAAATAAAAATGGATTTGTCTAACATGTATCCATGTAGTATAGGTTAAGGATGTAAATATATGTTTTAGTAATTAATTTACATTAAAAATCATAAAAGTTGACATTTATATTACACCATTGATATCATTCCCTTAAAAATCCTCAAGTGGCGTTGCATATATGGAATTTGGATGTGGGCATGCTATTTGCTTTGATGTAAAGCAAGAGAGGAGGATTTCCCCAATGACCCTCTCCTTCCTTGCGATCAACCTTCTTGTAGATGGTTGGAAGAACATTGGTTTAAAATTAAAATCTACGCTTTTGGATGATTTGCAAAAAGGAGAGATGCTTTTTGGCGAAATGGATTGCTAAATCTACGAACAGCTCCAAGCACTTAAATACTATCATGAACTTAAGTTAATACATTCTAAATGAACTAAATGATATGCAAATTAAAGTAAACTTACAAATAAAAGTAAACTTGCAAAAAAAAGATGCATCCAAGTTAAACTAAGCATGTTCATTGTCAAATTAAACTACAATTTATAGACAAATCTGGGAATTAAACTACTACAGAACTAGAGATTTAATCTTAAATAATCATAAACCTAATATGAATAGAAGTTAAACTAACATGCCAGAAATTAAGATATTCTTAACAGTTAAATCAAACAAAACTAATATTTTAAAAAACAATATTAAAAATTTTGTATAATCATAACGATTTTGTTACTTGGTTATAATCAAGTTTGCCCAAGCGGAAGGAAAAGAAGGCTAACGGAAAAGAAATTGAAAAAAAAAAAAAATTACCTTACAGTTTTATTACAGTTAAATACTTAAATCATTGGAATGACAGTTCTTAATTTATTGAAGGCAGTAAAACTTGTAGGAATATATGTGAAAGACAAGAAGATTAACACTTCCACGACGCAACAACCACCTGCACTGCAGTTAGCCGGCCCCAACCATATAATAATAATTCAAAGGCCCAACACAAGAAGCTGAAAAACCAGACTAGATCGATCGATGTTGTAATTAATGTACCATAGTAAATATATATTCAAACAAGAAACAAATCCATGTTGACTCACTTATCATAAAGTTAATAAAGCGTGTGAAGTTAGAAGTTAAAAGAATAAAAAAAATAAAAAAATAAAAAAAAGCTTGGGGAAAAGTTAGGATCCAGCACATCAGGGTTGGGTAGAAGTCGTCCCACACCACACATTTATTTTCTATAGTGGAAAAGCCCACCAGAATCTACAAGTCGACCACTTATTCTTTTCTCTAATAGGAGGACATAATAATTATTCTTTTTATTGTTTGTCTGTGCCCTGCAATATTAATTGGGTAGGGAAATGGCATTGCAATTTCTAGGAAATGACATATATAAATACCACATTGCCTCTCTTGGATTTCCATAGAAATTAATCGCTTTCCGATTCAGAATTCAATGGCTCGGCTTATCTTTCTTTTCCTTGTCTTTCTCGTTCTTATCGCCAATGTTACCACTATTAGCATTTGCAATGGCTACTCTGTTCATGCGGTTTGCATTAAAAGCGAGAAAGAAGCCCTTTTGAAGTTCAAGCAATGTATCGTGGATCGCACCAACCGATTGGCCTCTTGGCATTCCGATGGAGATTGTTGCAAATGGACAGGAATTGTCTGCGACAACGTGACTGGTCATGTCATTGAACTCAACCTCAGAGTACCTACATTGGATGACTACTATGACTATGAGGCTTATGAGAGATCATGGATGGGTGGTAAGATAAGTCCTTCTCTGCTCCATTTGAAGCATTTGAGTTATTTGGACCTCAGCAACAATGACTTTAGAGGAATTCACATTCCCAAGTTTTTTGGTTCTTTGGGGAGTTTAAGATATCTTAACCTTTCTCTTTCAAATTTTGGAGGGAAGATCCCTCACCATCTTGGGAATCTCTCTAATCTTAAATATCTTGATCTTGGGAACAATTATTATACCATGCATGTTGAGACTCTCCACTGGTTGTCTAGTTTTCATTCATTGGAGTACCTTGATTTGAGTTATGTGAACCTAAGTCAAGCCTCCAATTGGTTTCATGCACTAAATACACTTCCTTCCTTGGTAGGGTTACACTTGTCAAGATGACAACTTTCACATCATCATCCCCATCCCATTTCAAGTGTAAATTTATCATCTCTTGATACCCTTTCTCTTTCTTGGAATTCTTTCCAAAACTTGTCAATGATCAATTGGGTTTTTGGTCTCAAGAACCTAATTTCCCTTGATCTATCGAGAAATTATATCGAAGGTCCAATCCCTTATGGTCTTCAAAATTTGACTTTGTTGAAACACCTTGATCTATCAATTAATAATTTCAATTCCTTACTACTTGACTGGTTGTACACTTTTGCTCCTCTTGAGTCTCTAAATCTTAGATCTAATTACTTGCAAGGTGAAATTTCAAGTGACATAGGAAAGATGAACTTTATTGTTGAGCTTGACTTATCCTTTAATAGTTTTGAAGATCAAATCCCAATTAGGTCAATAGGAAATCTCTACAAGTTAAGGTCATTCTCCCTCTCAGGTACCAATTTGAATCTAGACATATTAGATGTCTTAAAAGTCTTTTCCAAGTGTGTTTCTAATAAATTAGAGTCATTGTCCTTGTATAAGTATCAACTTTACGGACAATTAACAAACCAACTTGGGAATTTTAAAAATTTGAGAAAGTTGGATTTGTCAATAAACTCAATCTCTAGTTCAATACCAACATCCATAGGAGAGCTTTCATCCTTAAAATTTTTAGACCTCTCATAAAACAAATTCAAAGGAAACCTTTCTGAGTCATTTGGTTAGCTTTCCAATTTAGAAGTTGTTGATATCTCACATACTTTTTTGGAGGGTACTCTTTTGGAGAAACACTTTTTAACCTCACAAAATTGTTAACTTTATCTGCAAATCAGAATCCATTGATTTTGAAGGTTGATCCTAGTTGGATTCCTCCCTTTCGAATTAAAGACTTAGAATTAGGATCTTGGCATTTAGGACCACAATTTCCACATTGGCTTTCTTCTCAAAGACACCTAGAATCTTTAGATACATCCAATTCTAGAATCTCAAGTATTATCCCTAGTTGGTTTTCTAACTTCTCTCATCCAGTGAGTTTTTTGAATCTCTCTCACAATCAAATTCATGGGCAGCTTCCAAGTATTTCTACCTTCAACAATTCATCATCTCAAATCTTTTACCACCTAACTTTCTTAGACCTTTCTAATAATCTTATGTCAGGTTCCCTTTTCAACTTTTTGTGTCTTGGAGTGAATGAAACCATGGATCAAATGTATGTTCTCAATCTTGGCAACAATTTTTTGTTTGGAGAGTTACCAAATTGTTGGTCCAAGTGGCCAAATTTAAAGGTCATTGTATTAGATAACAATAGATTTACAGGTGAAATTCCTAATACCATGGGAACTTTACAATCCCTTGAATCGTTGCATCTTCATAGTAATAACCTTTCAAGAGAAATTCCTATGTCCATAAGAAACTGTACAGCTTTAAAGACCCTCGATTTTGGTGAGAATGAATTGGTTGGAACATCCCATCATGGATGGGTCAAAACCTTCTAAATTTAATAATCTTGAGACTACGTTCAAACAAAATTTTTGGGCATATCCCTAGAGCGATATGTGCACTCAATTTTCTCCAAGTCTTGGACATTGCTCATAATAGGCTTTCAAGAAGCTTACCAAGTTGCATTAGTGAAGCTTACCAAGTTGCATTAGTAACTTAAGTGCCATGGTTTATTTTGTAAATGGCTTATTTGGAAACAACATTAAGTACAGTATTAACATATCAAATTTTATTGAGAATGTATTTCTTGTGATGAAAGGCCAGTTTTATGAATATGATAAGACTCTTAATTTAGTAAGAGTCCTTGATCTATCGGATAATAGCTTATCAGGAGATATCCCTTGGCAAATAACTAGGGTTCAAGGGTTGCAATCATTGAATTTAATGCACAACCTTCTCATTAAAAGGATCCCTCCAAATATTGGTGACATGAGTTCACTAGAATCTCTTGATCTTTCTGTAAACAAATTGCTTGGGTCAATTCCTGAAAGCATGTCCAGATTGTCATTTCTAAGCTATTTGAACTTGTCTGACAACCAACTGACTAGAAAATTACCTTTAAGTACTCAGTTACAGAGCTTTGATGTGTCTTGCTATGCTGGAAATGAACTTTCTGGCCTTCCACTAATGGTTAATTGTAGTGAAGTTAATCAAAGAGTACCTAACACTGGAAATAATGGAGAGAAAGGTACGGATGGAGCTAAGGTGAATTGCTTGTTTGTTAGCATGGCACTTGGGTTTATTTCGGGATTCTGGGGTGTATTGAGTCCTCTAGTGATTAGTAAGCAATGGAGGTATGCATATTATCAAAATCTAGATGATATGTGGTGGAAAGTCAGTGATTATGGGAATACATTTTTCAAAAATCTTATGTAGTTTTCTTTACAAGTGTATTTCTCTTCCTGTTCTCGTGATATGTTACAAAGAAAAATGTATTGTTTGGACTTTCTGTTATGTGTAATGACGCCGTAAAATAATTAAATACTATATAAGAAAAATATTTGCAAATTTGTCAGCCAAGTTCAAGTTGCTAAATTTTCAAGTAGTCAGCTTAAAATTCAATACATCAATAAGAACATTATTTTAATTGTGATTTATGTAATTCAATGAAAAAAAAATGTATTTCCTTTTCTATTGAAAAACTTATTTAAATTGTGATACACTTAAGTGTACCCTAGCGAATGCTGAAATTTTAAAGAAGGAAAAAAAGAAAAAGAAAAAGAAAAAGAAAATAATAATAATAAATTAGGACCGAGGATAGTGATGGTGCCCTTTTTCTAAGCCTTCCTCCATCTTGCAAATTTAAGTTAATAATGAGCTTTAAGATTCAATTGGTTGATTATTAAGTTGAAGATCGGTGCTGGTTAATATTTCCCATTAATTTTTTAAAAAATATTTTATTTATTGACGAAGGAAGTGTTTGGTTCATTTTAATTTATTAAGATTTGACATGCTTTAATTGTAATTTAAAGAAATAAACACCAAAAGATATAAATGCAAACAAAAATAAACAACTAAAAAAGCAAAATAAAAAAAAAGAAGACACCAGTTTAATTTTATATTTTTCATTTTCAAAACAAATCTACAGTCACTAATCAAGGGAAGCTTATATTATTGGAAGTTTTAAACTCTCAAATCACGATGTAAAGGAATTACTTTTAAATATAAAAATGATATAATTACAATTTATAAATTTATAATTATGAAAAGAAATAGAAAGAGGGCTAAACTCACAAATTCACCTCTCAAATATGAAAGTACAATTAAGTGGCGAACGAATTTTTGACCTGTCATGACTTCACACATTAAATAATAATCGGTGATTCTGAAATGGGTTCATTTCCTCCATGTGAAGATGCCTAATACTTTTTGGACATATTTGGTGAGAGGGGTATTTTACTAGAAAGTTTTTTTTTTTTTTTGTTAGGAAAGTAATTAGGAAAGTAGTGTGCGAAAAAGTTAGAAAATATTTTATAAAAAATTATTAAATTTTGTTGAAATTTTGTTAAGAAACTAATTTTGCCGTGTTTGGTAAAAGTTAATATAAGAAAAATTGTTAAATGAATCTGATATAAAAATGTTATAAGAAAACCTCTTGCTTTCAAAATAGGCGGAAATAGATTTTATGTTCTGCAATTATGTTAGGAAAAATAAATACTTAAAATATCACTTTTATTCTTATTTTTGTTGTAAATTAATATGTAAAAATACATAAATAACCTTGTAAAAAAGTTTTGGAGAAAATTTTCCCTAACCAAACACCCACTTTAATTGTAGAAAATTAGCTAAGATTATAAACAAAAGTAAATTTCAATCGCATATCATACTGTAAAGTTCAACCCAGTCTATTTTGCTCACATTTTGTTTTCTTTGTCTTTTCATCTCTACAATAGCTTGAATTTTTATTTTTATTTTTATTTTTGTAGCAGAACCTTCCTCAATGCTATAATTGATATTTTCTCAAATATGAGAAACCACCAAAGAATTTCTATTAACTTACAAGAACCATAGGAAATTCATATGATTCTATTCAAGTAATTTCAGCCATTTCATTAATTCTATTTGCAATAAAAGCAAAATGCTAAACTGAATAAGAAAATAATCGAAAAAATATACCTCTCATCAGGTTATTCAACTCAAAAAGCATTATAGTGCACCAGTGTCCTCCACCGTGGATCAAAAGGAACAAGTTTTTGACTCCTCCTCTCCTCCAACAAGCTCTGGACTATGCAGAGATAAGCAACGGACGGTGGGTTTCAGTTGTCTCTTGTGGCCTTTTGAGATGTGGGGGCCTTCTTGGCTGGGAGTGAGGACGGAGTCGACGGACGGCAACGGGAAGAGGACAGATCGGTCGAGATTTTTGGTAAAAATGGGGGGATGGGTTCGGTCGAATCCAAACCCCTATTTAAGTATTTTCTTTCTGGATAATAACGACGTCGTTTTCTGGGGATTGGATTTGTGCTTCGATCCATAGGTCTCCTCCGTATGCCATTTTAGTCCCTAATGTCCTCTCTTATTGCAATTAGGTCCCCAAAAAATGAGACATGTTTTAAAGGTTTATGATTTGGTACAAGATGACATTAAATTAATTTTTCTTGACAAAATTTTTGGTATTAATTCTCACGTCACATTAAAACTTGAATATTTTGAAAAATTTTCGTTTAAACTTGAAAAGCTATGAAAAATTAATATTTTGACTAAAATCAAGATATTTTAAGGTATATTGGATTGGCTGGATAAAAATTTTGTCACAACAAATTTTAAGTAAAAATTAAGATAAAAATAAAAAATGAAAATTTAGGTAAAAATTTTGAGTTAGGACACTTTTTTATTAAAAAAACTTATTTAAATTGTGATACACTTGGATGAAAGCTAGAGAATATGAAATTTTAAACAAGAAGGAATAATAATAATAACAATAATAATTATAATAATAATAATAATAATAATAAAAGACCGAGAATGGTGATGGTCCACTTTAAGCCTTCCACCATCTTGCAAATTCCAGTTAATAATGCTTTAAGACTCAATTGATTCATCATTAAGTTAATAGTTCGGTGCATGGTCGATATTTACAATATTTTATTTATTGGTGAAGGAAGCATTTGCGTTGATATCAATTTGTTACGACTTGGCATGCTTTAAATTTAATTAGTTTGAAAAATAATTAAAAGATAATTTTGTTACAAATTTTTCATATACTTTTTTGTATTATTAAAAAATTATTTTTTCTTTTAAAGGGGTAACTCAATAATTAAAATTTTAAAATTATAAGTTAAAAATGTTAAATTTAAATCTAGGATTAGGTGAGAAGATATTTTAGAAAATAAGCAAGTTATGTCTTTTTATATAACTTATCATATCAAAT